TTAATTTTTATTGAAGAAAAATGGCAATAAAAATAAAAAAAGAGAAAAAATTAAAAAATGAAAAAACGTGACAACAGATCCAAAAAAGAATGTAAGTGGAAGTCAAATGATATGGAAGGGATTAGTTTCGGAAATGGATAGTTGCGTTTCATCCCCATTTTAATTGCAATACAATTTTACATAATTAACCCTATTACTCTTTGATTTTAATTTACAATCAATGAATTGATTTCCTTACCTTATAAAATCTAGTGGTGGAGTCCGTTTAGTAGAAGGCTTCCATCCATTGATTATTTGAGATCAATGGATCTCATTCATTCTTATTTCTTTCGCAGAGGATCATTCTTATTGGAACCCACCCCTATATATATATATACACACACACATATATATACACACATATATATACACTAGCATATATACGCGCGTTGTGCGGATTGTAGTGCCAGATCAAGGTTTACTTAACAATAATTCTAAAAATGTTGGGAATAATGAATGACATGATTTTTGCATGTATGGACTTTGATATCTGATTTCATACATATCCAATGCCGATGTCAGCATGATGATTTTTTGAGTTTGAATTGTATGTATACCCATGCATATTAACAAGATATTGTATAAAATTGTATAAAATTAAAGTATTAGAGTAAATAATGTTAGCATAATGTAGTCTCAAATTTTACATCTTTTTCTAATTCCAACAATGAAGTAGTGTGTATTCAGTTGTATGTTTTGTGGAATATTAAAAGTTTTGAAATAATCATTGATGAACAATGAACATAATGTTTGAAGACCAAAAATGGAGTTTTAAATTAGATACTACCAAGTATGACTTGATAATACAAAAAATGCAATGTTTAAAAGTAAATTGAGTTTTTTAAGACAAGAATTAATACAATGAAGAACAAAATTATATGTGACCTATTAATTTTCTAGTCTATATTTTTTAACCCCACTCATTATAAGTAAATTATGTCTCTAAGAATGAAGTTCTAAAATTTACTTTGCCTTGTTGTCATAAATCAATTTAATTTTTTTTATGGAATATAAATACTTATTAAAAAAGCATGATTAGTTACTGTTTGTTTATCATATGACATTCAAAGAACACTCATTTCTCCACTATTTTCTACCGCGAGAACCTTAGTTCCCTAATATTAAAAAAATACATTAAATGAACATAATTAATAGTCTATGCCCCTCTATGATTGCAACATTATAAAATGATTCATTTATGAGATTAAAATTCTTTTTGATCCAGCAACACATAAGACATATGCTTATTCAGACCGAACCTTGTGTATCTAATGTTATTCTTTTCAACAACTTTCATTTTGCATGTCATTCAACCTTGTTGTCGTAATATCACTACTTATTTTTGTTGTTGACATCCCTACAATTAAAAAAATGTTATACTAACATAAGGAAACATGCTTTGGTACAAATCATTATTCAAAGTGTGTAAAACCATAGGATTTATTTTATACAAGTCATTCTAAAGGATCTTCATTTTTCATATAACGAATTAAAACTTCCCACGTGCCATTTTAATTTTTAAGATGATTCATCTATGGAAAAATTTTCATTCCCTACGTCTCAATTCTTGATTCGTACCTATAATTTTTGTTTTAAAACTCTCTTCTATGAGAAATAGATAAAAACAATCTAGATTTATGCTAACGCAAAAAAGACTAATTAAAATAAAGTTAAATGACAACACTTTTCACCTAATAAAATTATTTCATTCTTTATGGAACACTTCTGCATAAATAAAAGCTCCATATGTTCCGATTTGATTAGTAAACTCATTCTTTTAGGAAAAAACTCTCTACGTCCCAAGTTTTTAGTTGTACATATTATTTTTTAAAAAAGTTAATTATTTTTAATAATGGAAACAATCAGCCAATATTTCTGGCAATCATAAAAACACTAAATAATTTTAAAGTCGACTTAAATCAAAACACTTCTTCCTAAGTGAAAAGGTTTCATTCTTATGAAATTATTTTAAAAATTGTAGTCTTAAAAAGCTAAAAAATCATGAGAATTGAAGACGTGGTAGATAAAAGTCATTTTGAATCATTTTAAAGACTCCATGCGTCCCAAATTAATTTGTAAACGAATAATTATTTTGTTTAACTAAATTATTTATGAATTGATTTAAATGAGCTTATGTGAAAATATTCTCTCTAAACGATGACATTTAATTCTCATGTAACATTAAAAAATCTAAAAAAATTAAGAACATAGCACATGGGAAATACAAGTTATTCTGAAAGATTTTCATCTTTCATATAAAAAAAAATTCTTACGTTCCAATTTGATTTGTAAATTTAATCTTTAATGGACAAATTTAACTCCCTATGTTCCAATTTTTGAATTGTACATATAATTTTATTTAAAAAAAGCCTTATGTACTGTGAGTAATGAACAAACAACCAAGAATATAATTATGGCAATCGAAAAAAAACTATATTTTTTAGAAAACAACATAAATGAAAATACTTATCGCTAAATAAAATCAATTCATTTTTATGAAACACTTTGGCCTAAATAAAAAACTCTCTACGTCCCAATTTATTGTAAACTCATTCTTCTAGGGACAAATTAAAACTCTCTACGGCCTAGTTTTTGAGTCTTACATAAAAAACCTTATTTATTGTCAACAAAAAACACTATTTTTTTCAATCCTAATTTTGATTGAACCTAATTTTGATGCAATCCTGACCCTTAGATCTCACACTCTAAAGCACTAGATTCATTCTCATTTCTCTCCTAAGATTGTATTCTCACCAGAACATATATATATATATATATATATATATATATATATATATATATATATATTTATATATAAGAATGTATACAATATATTTTTACATGGAAACCAAATAGGTGAAATCCATGGACCTTTTCCAGCAGGACCATGCCAACGAGGGTGTCTTATTATATATTTGGGAGGAGTTTACAATATACATAAGACTTAGGAAGCCATTGATGAGCTTAAAACTCTTGTAGGAGACGAAGAACTAAATATGTGATGAACTGATTATAGTCATAGAGTATAGTAGTAGGAATCTGCCCCTTCTTGTGGGGGGGGGGGGGGGGG